TGGGGATATATTTTATGAGTACCAACACGTGGCAAGGTGACGCCGACGTGTCAGCCGAGGTACCACGTGTCCTGGTTGTTGTGCCAAGGTAATCTCGGTTAGGCCGAGGTTTCCTCCGAAAATATCGGAATCCGAGATAAGCAGATGAAAGATAAGGGACAAGAGTCTTAGAATAAAGAGGAGATTTAGCCAAGATAAGGATAAAGGTCTTGTGAGAGATTGTATTTTGTTTGTGACAAAAAGTGGCTAGATTTTGTGAGAAAAGAAGGAAAATTTTTATAATTCCTTTATTATCCTCAGTCTTAATTTTTCTCCTTCTCGTTACACTTAAAACCTAAAAAACTCTAACACCCACCACCATCACCTCTGACCACCATTCCGCCACCATAGCCACCACCCCGTCCGTCGCCTCACCGTTGCGACCATCACCACCATTACGACTACCACCTTTAGCCCCTCACCACCACAACCACCACTCCCTCTGTTGTCTACGGTCGCGATCCCACTTCGAGAGAGAAAGAGAGAGATGTGAAAACTTAGGGCTTTCAGATTTGAAAGAAGAATAAGAAGAAAAAGACAAACCACCATCTCCAACCACCGTGAGCCCCTTCATCTACTACAATCACCTTCTTAGCTCACCCGTTGCTTTTCCTTTTCCACTTTCTTCCTCCGCCGCTGCATTTTATCCACCATTGCACACACAAGCGAGTAAGTGAGAGAGAGAAGTTTCAGATTTAGATAACCCTCGCCATCGTTGCAGTCCTTACTCTCTTCGTTGCTCACCGCCGCAACCATCGTCCCTGATTGAAATTAGGATTAGGTTTGGGAAACAAAAAGAAGAAGAAGAAAAAGAATAGTAAGAAGAATAGGATAGTGGCTGTAGCGGTGAGGCAACTGTAGGAACAAGTGGTTGTGACGATGAAGATGGTGGTTAGAGGTGATGCTGAAGAAGAATTAGAATTAGGGTTAGGGTTGGGTTTTTTAGGTTTTGGGTGGAAGAAGAAGAAGAAATGTTAGGAATGAAGATAATAAATGAATTATAGAAATTATAAAATAAATAAATAAATTGAATGTTAAGAGTGTAAGGAGTTAAATTTGTGGTATAAGTAGATTTTTAAAAAAAAAAAAAGGTTTAATGAAACTTTTCTAACCAAAATTACTGATTTAGAATGCATGGTCATACAATTCTTAAATCAAAGGGATAAGCAAAACAAAGGCAAAAAATGGGTCAAACTCGGAATTGCGGGAAATTTGGTGGGTTGATGGAAAACATGATTTTAAGTATGATCCATGGAGTTGTCATGGACACCTGTGGTTTTTGGACAAATTTCATCGTTTTGGTAGTCAATTTTGCAAATTTGTCATTTTTTGAAAGATTTGAAATTTCAATTACTCTATCGCAAACGTCAAAATCTGACTCCGTAAAATCTATCATGACCGTAGAAGCATATATTAGTAGTTTTTTTTATTTTATTGCAATATTTCTATTTTTGATCATTTTCATCATATTTCCTTATTTGAATTGCCCATTGTGAAATTGTCCATTCTAATTGTTTTCTATTAAGTTAGGTTCAATTTTGTTTATAAATATTGAATGTAGGCCTTAGGGCTCTTTAGTTTTTGATAATTAATATATTTTAAGTTTTTTACTCTTTTGTTCTAATTTTGGGTTCTCTTTGTGAATCAACCATTGTTAAGCTTTTATTCTCGGTATTCTTTATGAATCAATGAGTCTAGAGAGATATCTTGTTTCCGGTATTGAGTTTTCAATCAACGAATTCTAAGATTGTTACTATTTCGCATTTCACGCTGCATTAATTATCCTGTGGTAAAAGAAGTTAGAAAAATAGCTTATTAATATGGAAAATTATTTTGATAAAATGAAATAAATCACTTTATTTTCTTTTCTCTTATTTACTTTATTCAAACAACATAGGTGAGAAATCGCTTTCTCTTCTTTTTTATTCATCCAAACACAATAGTGAAAAATTATAATCATTTTCTTTCTTTTCTCACCTAAATAAAAAATTACAATCTTTTCTTTTCTTTTCTTTTCTCACGTCACCATCCCAACGGAGTATTTCATAAGCCAAAAGCCTATTTAAGTTATGAAAATAATCTTATAGAAAAGTTGCATGTATAAAACATTACTTTAAATTTGGAACATAGAAACAAACACAAAATTAGATTAAAAAAATAAAATAAAATTAGAAGGATCTATGTGTACGTCTTAATAGATAGACTTATTATCCAATAGATCTTATAATAATTAATATTTTTCATCAAATACTACTAAAAAATGTTACTAATTATTAATTTTTAGCAACAGTTTGAAAATTTTGTTACAAAAAATGTCACTAATTATAAGTTGTGGGGATATATTTTCTGAGTACCAACACGTGGCAAGGTGACGCCGACGTGTCAACCTAGGTACCACGTGTCCTGGTTGTTGTGCCAAGGTAATCTCGGTTAGGCCGAGGTTTCCTCCGAAAATATCGGAATCCGAGATAAGCAGATGAAAGATAAGGGACAAGAGTCTTAGAATAAAGAGGAGATTTAGCCAAGATAAGGATAAAGGTCTTAGGGAGTTTATCTTTATCTCTTGAAGAGTCCAAAGTAAATCCAGAACAGGAATCCATCGAAGTCAGGCTTCTAATGGGATTAGGATTGAGGTAACTATAAAAGAGAGGCACCCCCGTGGGTCTAAGGTGCGCAATTTATGCTTTGAGCAGTGAGTTTAGCACTTTGCTATATTTAAGAGATATACTGACTTGATCGTTGGAGTACCCCCGGGTGGAAGAACCACCGCCGAAATCTTTTTTTTCTGTTACAGGTTAGCTGAAGCCATCTATTCTTCCGATGCTCTCCAGCTGATTACTAAACGGGCAGTGTGATCAAAAAATCACTCACACAATTTGGCGCCGTCTGTGGGAAGAAGAAGAATAGATGGCCAGTAACGGACAGAAGGAAAAGATTGGGGACGACACTTCTGCTGGGAGTGGCAGACCTACCAACCTTGATATCGAAGAAGACAACTACAATGTAGAAACTCGTGACCAGGGCCACGGAGAGAAAAACGTCGGCTAGGAGGGCGACACTTCGAAGAAGACAAACCAAAGCAAGTACTATAACGAAGATAACCTCCAGGTATGGAGGGATAGGTGCCTACGGAGGGACGAAGAAGTAAAAGAATTGGCAAACAAGTTGGCAAACCTGCAGTCGGTCGTCAACTTCATGATGCAAAACAATGTCATGCAACCACCGTACCTGCTGCAGGACACGCCGATTCCAGTAGCTAATACCCAGAAAGGGGGAAAAAAAACAATCCCCGAAGCCCCTCAGCACACCAGGAGTGGGAGGCACTCTCACTGACCTTCCAGGGAAGCTGAACAAGAGGAGCCAAGACGAGAGGAGTCCCGAAGGACGTATCACACGAAGGACCTAGAGCCCAAAGAACATCGGCATGTTCAAGGGCAGGCGCTCTGCTTTGACATAACCCATGGAGAAAGATCAAAACGGGCCCACCACGAGGCCGAAAGTAGTGTGCCGAAAAGATTGAAATCCAAAGATAGCCGAGCTCCAGGGAGGAGTAAAGAAGACTTGAGAGATTACCTCAAGAGGAAGCAACAGAATGCTGAAGCCAAGGTAACTTCCCCGGTTAAGCTAAGGACACCATTCTCGGTGGAATTGGAAAAATTCGAAGCACCAAAGAGATTCAGTATGCCAAGATTCCAAATATATGATGGTAAGTCGGATCCCAACTTCCACGTTGGACTATACCTGAATTCAATGGCATTATATAGTGGGAACGAGCCGTTGCTCTGCAAAGTATTCCCTCATCCTTCGGGGAGATTGCATCAGATTGGTTCTATAAACTACCGAAGGGAAGCGTAAAGACTTGGGAAGGCCTGACCGAGATGCTTGTGGCCAGGTTCGTGACGAACAAACTGCAACCCTTAAGGGTCGACGCACTAATGGCTTTAAAAATCACTAAGGATGAAGGCCTTAGGGCCTACGCAAAAAGATACTACGAGGTGTTCAATTGAATACCCGAATGCAACCAAGAGGTGGCGGTCGTGTCTTTCAAGAACGGCCTGAAAGATAACTGCCCACTATGGAAGTCTTTGGCAAAGACATTGCCAAAAAGTATAGAAGAACTCATGGCGAGAATTGAGAAGTACGCCAGAGCCAAGGAGGATACGTCAGGAAACAAAGAGACAAATCAGGAGAAAGGAAGCGGTTCACCGAAGTGAGGCCGAGGTAACAATGGATCGACCAAACAAGAAACGAAATTGAGGGCTAAACAGGCAGTGACGACTGTGTTCCGAATCTCGATCCACAACGTCCTGGATCAAATACGAAACCAACCCTATTTCAGGGCACCGGCAAGAGCACCAGGGGAATTTATGGAAAGAAACGTTGGTAGGCGTTGTGCTTACCACAATGAAGAAGGACACCCAACTTAGGGTTGCAGAGCTCTAAAAGCACACTTAGAAGACTTGGTGAGGCAAGGCCTTCTGAGGGACCTTGTCGATGAAGCCAGGACAAGGGAAGAACAGGCAAGATTGCCTCAAGCACCAGCAGCTCCGCCTCCCCCAGCACAGCAACCACAGGCAGGAGGACCACGGGTGGTTAATGTAATTCACTCAAAGGTGAACGAAAACGACATACGAGGGGAGACCCAGAAGGTAAAACACCTACAGCACGTGAACCAGGTCGGACATAAAAGACCTCGGCCTGAAGAATGCCAGGGACCGGCGATAGCCTTTACTGAAGCCCACCTAGAGATGGTCCAGCATCCACATAATGATGCCTTGGTAGTATCCCTCCAGGTTGGGGAGTGCCAAGTGAAATGCATCTTGATTGATCAAGGCAGCTCTTGCGACATCATGTATGTTAGATGTTACAAGGAGCTGGGCTTTCATCCTGATGACTTGGAGCAGTCCAATGGCCCGATGGTCGGCTTCAATGGAACGCCGACGTGGCCACTGGGCGCAACAAGCTTGGAAGTACAAGCCGGTACTAAGAAGATCAAGACAGAATTCATCATGATTGACACGCCCTCGCCATACAACATCATCTTGGGAAGGCCATGGTTGCATGCAATGGGGGCAGTTCCCTCGACATTGCATCAACTACTACGGTTCCCAACAGAGCATGGGATTGAAGAAGTCAGAGGAGATCAACTACAGGGAAAGAATTTGTGGGTGATTTTCTGACCACACTGCCTACTTAGTAACCAGCTGGAGAGTATCGGCAGAATAGATGGCACCTAGCTGACCTGTAACAGAAAGAAAAGATTCCGGCGGTGATTCGTCCACCCGGGGGCACTCCGACGATCAAGTCAGTATATCTCTCAAAGATAATCAATAGTGCAAATCTCACTGTTCAGAATATAAATTGCGTACCTTAGACCCACGGGGGTGTCTCTTTTTTATAGTTACCTCAATCCTAATCCCAATAGAAGCTTGACTTCTATGGATTCCTATTTAGTACTTACTTTGGACTCCTTCAGAGATAAAGATAAACTCCCTAAGAGCTTTATCCTTATCTTGGCTAAGTCTTCTCTTTATTCTAGGACTCTTGTCCCTTATCTTTTATTCGTTTATTTCGGATTCTGATATCTTCAGAGATAACCTCGGCTTGGCCGAGATAACCTCGGCGTCGCGACCTTAACACGTGGAACCTCGGTTGACACGTCGGCGTCACCTAGCCACGTGTCGGTGCTCAAAAATATATCCCCACAACTGCCCCTAGGTTCTATTACCTCAGCATTCTGAGGTGATGGAACCTAT